TATTTATTTATTTATTAGGCACATACACACACTGCGTACATCCATACATATAAATATTAAGATGTCTTAATATCTTTGGTGTCCTGGTTTAGTTTTGTCAAGTCTGAGAATCCACCCTGATGATAAACAGCACTATGGGTAATGTTTGATCTCGGGCCTTGTGCTTTGATTTCATCAGGTCGCTTTGAATTTACCCCTTTCAGTAGAGTATTTACTTACTTTCCACCATTGTCAATGCCTCAGTGTAGATATAAATACTCTAAAGCCTTTTCAGTCCATTTCACATAAGTACAGCAAATAAAGTATCTAAAAGTACCCATCATGCAGAATGTCCCCCTTTCCGAATGTTATAATATTATACTGTATATATTGTTATGGGATTATAATGCTGATGTATTGACATGTTACCGACATTTGAATGCGTTTATTGTGTTCACAAACAAAGATTCACAGTTTTATAAACTTCGCTTTGTTTTCAGAGGGGAGGAAATGACGCACTAGTTTAGAAAATCAACAGCGATCGCGAAGGAACACCAGGGCATGGGCGACGATGATGCGTATTTATGCTGCGGACAACACCTGTCCTGTGTTCACTAACAAGAATCTGACAATGCAGCATATGCCGGCTTGTCATGTGTAGTTCGCATCATTTATCGGTACAGTTTATTAGTGTATTTATCCCCCTGGAAAGGTCAACAGCGTGAAATGAAACAATCGTCAAACAGTGTGTGAAATTCTCATACTTGACTGAACGCTTTCATGATTGTATTGACAGACAGATTGTAGGAGGAAGAGAACAGATGAGGACAGATAAGGAGTCCACACAGGTAAGTAACATTTTGCGTTGAAAAGGTTGTAGGCTTCCTCTGGGTATTGTTAGGTCAAAAGCCCAACACACATCCCATATTAGATGTTAGAGAGTTACCTCTGGCTCGTTATGTATCGTATCTTCGTCCAAGGTTGACCTTAACAAAACAGGATGAGTCACTTATGGCAAAAGGGCAGTGCCATGTAGTGCCATCTGAAATATTTGTTGGTTTATATCCTATGTGAGATACTAACATCCTGAATATGATCGTGTACTGCAAAAATCACAAAATTACAGGAGTATTAAATGTACCACTAAAATAGCGTTTTGAGTTTTTGTTTTAAATCACTAATTACCATAATGATAAAGACTTATTTTATGCTAAATTTAAAACTTTATTAAAACACCTGAAACAATGATATTGGGGAATATTATGAAAGTGACTTTCCATCGTGCACGGTTTATTTTACAAAACCTAATGCTTAAGACATCAAACATGTCAAATACTGCACATTAAAAGGGTAGAATACCGCATACTGAGAGGCCGAGGAGTTTTTAATTATCCAACCTCTGATTCATGAGTTCACCAACAATCACTCATGTCTGATTCCGTGTCCTTGACCACCCAATCAGATAAAATGATTAGTTAGAACATTTGAATAACCGTTACTGACTGCGTCATGCTGTGTAAGCTGGTAATTATAAGCTGTGATTGATTCAATTTGAAAAGCTATAGTTCTCCATACATTTGTTTGCCCTCGCATGGCAACTAAAACCCTGGTTTACCCGTAACCTAATTTAAACAGCAGATGGCACTGTGGGGTGAATTTAGGAGAAATCCTGCATGTCATGTGCCAATAACTGAAGCTTTGTATGCATCATTACATGTTGTTTAAAGCATGAAACTACCGGTTTTAAATATTAAATCTATCATTACAATCTATTCTGCCTTATTATCATTTTTACAAAACAATAATACAATTATTGTAATGTTACATGATTGTTCAGTCTAATTTGATATATTTGAAATAAGTGATCTCGCTCTTAAAATCAATATATTGAGCTGTGAAAATAATACTGTCCTTTCTAGTTCCTATTCAGACTATTCATTCTTTTAAATGTCATATGACACATTAAGTGTTCTGATGGTGCTGTCAAGTAGAAGTGAGCCATTTAAGGAAGGCCTTTTATCAAGTGTCATTAAAAAAAAAGACAGTTTACCATTATGAGGTCTTTGCTGTTCGTCACATTTTCAACTAAATCCCCCGTCTGTCCAATCAGAGAGCTTGAACGTAGCGCTGGGCTTTAAGGAAACATATTGCTTCGCTTTGATTTTGTTACACAACAGACAAAGAGAGAATATGACTCCCAGCTTACAACTATGATTTTTATGCATCCGAGGACATCATTTCATCGCCAACATTTCTTATCTTTTTGATGTTATTGCTTTTTATTTATTTATATATATTAAATTGTATTGGTGTAGTTTGATTTCATTTCTGTTCTTAAATGTTTTTGTTCCTATTTCAAACATATAACTCGTATTGTTTTAAAAATTGCTGGTTAAGTTTAAAATTATCATTATTATTCTTACTTCCTGTGTTTTCATACAGAATGTACAGCTAGTCAAGAAACAAATTGCCCTGCTTTATACATTCAAACAGGTTTTTCCACTTACATTTTTATATTCCCATTAAGGTTAGAATCTTATTCCACAATGTCTGACAGTATCAGACACCCATAAGTGTATATAAATATATTCAAAACATCAAAAAGCTTGTGAAACGCGAGGTGAAAAGGAGCCTAAAGGCAATTAGGAAGATTCCTATCAAAGCTATATCTTCTATTTGTTACTTCTGTTATACTGGATATTATGGATTCAATATTAGGATCATGAACCTTTTATCTAGCTTAACATTTTAGATCTGGACAAATTCGATACTAAGCTACATATACCCTGATATTCTATAATCATATATAGGTATATCATATGTAAAAAATACCCTGTATGGCAGAACAGGACTATCTATATCATTATACATCTTTGCTTCCCTTGCAAGTCTTCAAGCAGCTCCTCTTTGCTGCTTCTAGTCGACGTGAACGGAGACAACATGGCGTCATGTGACTGTGCCTCTGTTAGGGGTGGAGGAGCACAGCAACCTCAGCCTCCTCTCCTGCACTGAATCTCTCACACTGTAGAGAGGCAGGAGGCGCCATGAGGGCCTTTTATGATATATACAGATGCACAAATCCAGCTGCCTTGCAGTGTATACAATGCATTAGTGTTGTCTGATGAATAAATCTGGAAGGATCCTTTGCATGATGAAGGATAATTATGCAGCAGCATGCATGGCTGTCTTTGACACGTCTGCCAGGTGTATGAAGGACTGGTAGCAGGCCAAAGAGAGACAGCCTTATTCAGCTGAAAGCCTCTCTCTGCAGTCTCCCAGGTAGGTTATTGATTACCAATTTCTTTTATCACACGTACTTTAATGTGATGACATATTTAACGTTTTGAATCGACTTGTTATTGTTAGTTTTTTCTGTGTACATAGCTGTGTGGGCGACACGAATAAGCGAATCATGTTCATATTTGCATTTGTGAAATACTATGGTTATGAGTTATAATTCTTCATGTGTAGGATAAAATGTTGCCATTATTGTATGTTCCATCATAATCCTTTAGGTTAAAAATATCTTCTCTCATATTGATTCGTGCTTCATATGGACATGTTTTGTCTTGCTGAATAAGTTTACAACACTTTCATCTTAAACAACAGAAAAATAGACACAAGACTGGTTGACCTTGGCATACAAAAAAATGCAAATGAGAAGTTGGGATTAAACAGGATTTGGCTATTTATACATTATGTTATAAATGCATAATGTTATCAATCCCTTAAGACAAATGTGCAGGATTTATTCAAGTTCATTCCCACAATCCCACCTCACTAGCTCATATGGCTAAGCTATGGCAGAGGCCTGAAATATGAACATAGTGTACATATTCAAGCCCTTATTATACTCTTCTCCTGCTCATTTCCTTTTCTTCCTTTCCATCTCCCCCACCTCCTTCTGTCTTCACCTCCCTCTCTCTCTCTCTCTCTCTCTCTCTCTTCTTTCTCTGCACCAGCTGCTGCTCCAGAGCTAGAGTGGAGAGTCCCCTCGCCCCCCTGCACAGACAGAGACAAAAGGCCTGATTCGCCTGCTGAACACTGCCCCCTTTCTCTATCCGTCCCTTCATGCATGGCCGTGGTGGTGGTAGTGGCTTCAGGAAAAAAGCAAGGCCTGGACTGGGACTAAAATCTAGGAGTGACCAAGTGAAGGAAAGTGGGAAGAGGGGGAGGGGAGGAGGAGGATGGGGACTGGAAGGGTTGGGGCTGAGTAAAGGCAGGTGCTGAGGCCTCTACAGGAAGATTTTTATTTTTTCCTGAATATCTTACAGAGTGGAAAAAATCTGACAAGGGTATGCCACATTTACCTCTCTATATGCATGAACGTGCATGTTTATGTGTGTCTCTGTGGTGACATATGTGGGCCGGGGTGGCATGTGTTTGATGGAAATCAAGGGTGCATGAATGACCTGTGTTTCCCCATTGCAGATTGTCTGTCCTGGGTGTAATGCTGCTGCGGGCTGCATGAAAGTTTGAAAACAACCAGTGTGTCTGGGGTGAAAGCACTGGGGGAGAAACAGACTTCTACTACCATCATGGTTACCTCATTTTGATTTTTCCTTTCAACGTGTTATGTGTGTGATTTTTCTCATCTTCTTTCCTGTTGTGCTGTATGTTTAACTGTGCTCACCCAAACAGCACCTTTTTGTGCATTGTTGTATTTTTCTGGTCTAATTTTACAGCAGTGCAAGCAACCAGAGTATAGTGAATCTCATTCAAATATGTCGCCACATGTCTATAAAATACTGTGTTCTTGTTTCACTAAATCTATAAGATGCATGTAGTTTGGTGAAAGATGTTGCAGTGTTTCCACCTGTGTGTTTCTGAGGCCGTATTGCAGCACAGGGCTTTTTGTTGGGTGACCGGAACCAGATGAAACCGGTTTGAGGGAGACCGAGGGCTGTCGGGAACAATGCAGTCTCTGTGCTCGAATGAGGGATAGAGATAGCCCAGACTACTCCACTGCAGCCCTTCACAGCTCTGCCACTGGCGACCATGGTACAGGCAGAGACCCTGCTACTGCTGCTGCTCGCTGGATGTCGGCGTGCTACGCAGCGCGGCTCATAGCGAGGGGGGCAGGGAGATTTGGGAAGGGATGAGGGAAGGGGGGGGGGGTGGACGTGGCCGGCTGGGAGTTTGTGAATCTGCAGCCAGGAGCTTCACATACACACACTCATGCAAGAGCATGATCTATCCGTCTGTTCGCATGTCTGTGTGCTGCAGAGAATGACTAAGGAGGATCCTTACACACCACCACTCACCAGATCACTGGATGTAACCTGACCCTGTATTCTAGGCCTTTACATGGCTGCGAAGAAGCAGGCTTTTTTTTCCCCCCTCCCGGCAGGGTGGGGTGGGTGGCTCTTTTTGTGGGTTAGTAGTGTTGTGACTGTGTTTGTTGCAGGATGGAAGGAAGGAAGGAAAGAAGGTTTGGCTAGTGGCTGGAGAGGGACGGAGGCAAGAGGGTGAGGAGTGGCTGATTCACTTGCATGTTTCCACCATTGTTGTTTTACATTCACTTTACTGAGATTGCAGTTTTACACAGGATTTCAGGTGGTAATGGAACATGTATTAAACTGCTGTTGTTGAGAGGTTCTGTGTTGTATATTTTTCATATTCGTCTGTATTTAATCTTCATTTACTTTCTACGTCAGGCTGTCATGGCTGTGACTAGCTGTTCTTTCCACCGGGCCTTTCTCTCTGCTGCAGCCTCGCACAGCTCAGCAGCCATTTTTTTTTTCCCCTCACTGCAATTCTTGCCTGCTCTTTCCCTCCATAACATTTCTCTCTGTCATTTTGTTTATGTTAGCCTCATTATTACAACTATCCCGTCACCTGGATTGAACTGAGAATTGTTGCTTTTAGAAACCAAAGACAAGGCGACAAGATACGGGTCTGTGTGTGTGTGTGCAGTTGTGTTTGAATAAGGAATTTGGATCAAAGAGCAGCACTGGTTTAACAGCATGTACAAGCAGAGCAGCTCCATGGCTGTGCCTTTTGTCCCCCAACACCTACAACACAAAGAGAGACAGTACATTTCAGTCCCATCATGTCTCTTTTGCAGTGCTCAATATAAAAAAAATAAAGACAGGTTGTAACTCTTCAAAAACAAACCAAACAAAAACATGATCTATGAACATTGGTTGTTTTTTATTAATACATTTGTTGTGTTTGTTCGAGTGAACATCCTTACATTTTCCATTTCACCTTATCAAAAGTCTTCACCTGTCATCATGTTCATATCTACACTTCATATTTCAGTATTTGTTTATGTTTTATTCAACCACAAAACCAGCTGACTGCAAGTCCACTGATAAGAAAATAACTAAAAATATGCTAACGTTAGATATTGTATTTATCATTTGGACCAAATCAATCATCATCCTGATTATATATCCGTAAATAAAAATTAAAAAGAGGAACTCTCTGATGCCTGTCTTGCTCGTCAGCAGCTTTTCAAGAAAAGTCAAATAGATTACATTAGCACACTGGAATATACTTCCAAAGCTGGAAATCTGTATTGTATAACACTATTAATCAAATATGAATTTGAGAACATTTTAACTAATATATATTACCATGAAACCTTCCTAGTTGATTACTTACACTAAGACAATTAATCATTTTATAAAAAGTTTTCTAAAATGTTATGTTATGCAAATAGAAAAAAAATGTTTTGCCTGGGGTGTCTCGCCTTAAGAAATGTTTTAAGCAGCTGTTTCCATTACAGTTAACAATCTACACTGTTCGTATTACTCACTCGAATGTACATCCACCTCTTTTCACCATATAACCCCAGAAATTTGAATAAACATTTACTTTTGAAGAACTTTGTACGTCTGTTTCATTTTCTTTACTGGGTAATACAAGATTATTCAAAATTTTCTCATCTACAAGTCAGGATTTTCTCCACAGCTTTACATTGCTGTCCCAACTAAATATGAACATGATCATATTACAGTGGCCTTAGTCTTCCAAATTTGGAGAGAATTACAATAATTGCCCTGTAAAATATCAATTTGTCATTACTAAACAAATTCTACTATCAATATGAACCTGCCATCATCATGAGAAAAGGCCTCATTTGGGACCCAAGATGGATTTAGGATGATGTTAGTCATGATAGTCCTTCAAGACGTTTATCGAGAAAAGTCATGTCTACAAGAATATGAACATTGTCATTATGGAAACTATGATCCATGGATATTATTGGCTGTTATTTTACCTAAAACCAAAATATCAGCTTCACACACAAGACATCTCACAACCTAATGAGCAGATTGCAGATGAAATAGACATGGAACATTCAACACCAGATCACAACAGATCAACTTACTGATTATTCTACCATTTCCTCTGTGTTCCCCAGGTAATCTCCTCAGAACACGAGCAGGACCATGGGAGATATGAAGACACCAGACTTTGATGACCTGCTGGCCGCCTTCGACATCCCTGACATGGTGGATCCTAAAGCCGCTATTGAATCTGGCCCCCATGATGACCATGACGGACAGCTCAAGCATCCCAATAGTGGGGTGACTAGTGGTGAAGACGAGTCCCACAACCCCTTAACAGGACTTGACGTTGGCGTTAGTGTCATTGTCAAGAACATCCGAAATGCAGACACTAGGGAGCATGGTGAAAACATATCAGATAAGGATGGGCATTTCCATCCCCAACCTCCTTCTGTTGACATTGGCAATGGTCTTCATAATAGCTTCTTGGCCGCAATACAACAAGGTACTCATTGCACCAAAAATGGATGGAAAGCTCCCAGGGAGGAAGGACAGTCAGTTAACAACCATTCACCAACCTTCAATCAATTCAGCCCCATCTCCAGTGCTGAAGAGTTTGATGACGATGATAAAATTGAGGTTGATGACCCAATGGACAAGCAGGGAGGCCAGTCATCCTTTATATCCACTACTAAGACAGAGGACCAGAACCCTAAATCTCCAGTATCATTAGACAATGCTTCTAAGCCCACAACAAACAGGGACCAAAAACTTGATCAAAACAAGAACATCAGTTCCAAGTCTAACGAGCTCCCTCGATCAAGTTTACCCGAGGGGGAACTAAAGAAAACTGTCCTCGGGACTCAAGATCAGGAGTGCAGGGAAACTGGAGAGCCAACGGGGCTCGTTAATGTGTCCAGTATGTCTCAAGTCAAAGCCAAGTCCTCTGCAAAACTTTCATCTTGTATAGCAGCCATAGCCGCCCTCAGTGCCAAAAAGGCTAGCGCTACAGATTTGGGTGTTTTGGATTCTCCTACAACACAGAAAGAATCCACCCCTGCCAATAAAAATCCCAGAGCTCTAGAGAAACCACACGAGCAGGAGTCAGCCCTAGAGTTTGCAAAGAGGCTGCTAACAAGACATCCAGACAGTCCCTCCAGTGTCATCAGTGAGGGTAGCAGCAAAGATTCCCCTGCCTCAAGCACAGACACCACTCCGGTCATCCCAAAAGTCAGGATCAAAACAATCAAGACGTCATCTGGCCAGATCAAGCGTATGGTCAGCAGAGTTGTATTGGAGTTTGATCCTAAACGTCTGAAAAGAAGAAAGAATAGCGTTTCTGTCATGGCAACCACCAGTGCAAAGTTCTCATCTTCTACAAGGCCCCCTCTGCCAACCACAGTATTAGCTACCACTGGAGGCCCTTCAATTGAAATAACCAAGCAAATGACTATCAAACCTGTGGCGACAGCTTTCCTGCCTGTCTCAGCAGTCAAGACAGCTGGTTCCCAAGTCATCAACCTGAAGCTATCCAACAATACCACAGTTAAAGCAACAGTCATCCCTGCTGCATCAGTGCAAAGTGCCAGCAGTGCCATCCTAAAAGCTGCTAATGCCATCAAGCAACAGACTGTCATGGTACCTGCCTCCAGTCTGGCTAATGCCAAACTTGTGCCAAAGACAGTTCATCTACGTAACCTCAATCTTCTGCCTCAGACTGTATCCTCCGCTGTCTGTGATCTCAAAAAGGCCCTGTCCTCCTCTAAACAACCACAGCAAATCAGACAGCATACAATTATCGCTGGCCGGGCCTCAAAGAAAGTCTCAAGGATTCAAGTGTTCAACAGCTCTCAAAGCTCTGTAGTGGACGCCTTCAACAAAGTCCTGAGTAGCATAAATCCTGTCCCCGTGTACGTACCAAACCTCTCTCCGCCAACCTCAGCTTGTATTTCTCTACCCTCACGTGGCTACAAGTGCCTGGAGTGTGGAGATTCATTTGCTCTTGAGAAGAGTCTGGCACATCACTTCGAGCGTCGCAGTGTGCGGATCGAGGTCACCTGCAACCACTGTGCTGAAAGTCTACTGTTCTACAACAAATGCAGCCTCTTGTCTCATGCCAGGGGCCACAAGGACAAAGGGGTTGTCATGCAGTGCTCACATCTAATCCTAAAACCCATCCCTGCAGATCAGATGATAACAACATCACCCTCATCAGGCTCACCCAGCATCACAGGTACCACCTCCACCTCCCAAGCACAAGCGACCACCCAAATCCCAGGGAGAGTTGCTGGTTCAGGATCCCAAAGTACAGTGATTTCAGCTCCATGCAGTGCTCCTCTTGTTGCAGCCATGCCCTTGGAGGATGATGCATCGAAGCTCTGCAGGCACAGCCTCAAGTGCTTGGAGTGTAACAAAATGTTCCAGGATGACAGCTCGCTAGCTATGCACTACCAACAGGCACAAGAGTCCAGTGGGCAGGTGTGTGTATGTTACGTGTTAACTGCTACATAATATGGTTAAATTGTATTCAGCGGCCTTTCAGCAGTTTAGTGATGGTAGCCACTATATCGGGGTGCCTCTGGCTCCCATTTATTTTTCACATTGACAACATTTCGTGACTCACAGTTGGAGCACTTCTACAGCTTGGATCCACAAAAAACATGTAATTAATAAACACAATCATTTCCAGTGCCATGATAAAATGCAATTGATGATTTTCTTTCTCTCCTCTTTTCAGAAAACATGCACCATCTGCCAAATGCTTCTACCAAATCAGTGCAGCTTTCTGTCACACCAGCGGATCCACCAGCACAAGTCTCCTTATATCTGCCCCGAGTGTGGCGCCAGCTGCCGTTCTGTCCATTTCCAATCACATGTCACAAAGAACTGCCTGCATTACACCCGTAAAGTCGGCTACCGGTCAGTTTACCTTAACTACATTCATAACATTATTCATTTGCATTTTAGTTTTCTCTTGTGCTGAACTGCTTTTTCAACATTTATTTCCAACATTTTTTTTGTTTGAGACCCTGTTTTTTTGGGGGGGGTAGTCAAATCTGAAAACAAATTCATGGTATTTACCATTGAGCAATGTTCTTCCTTTCAAAGTGGCTATACTCAGACTTGATGTCTCTTGCTCTTTTCTTTTAAAGTGCCACTTACAATGTCATATTTAATTATAGTTATTATTACTTCATTAGGTTTGCCTCAGCTTGACAATCCCATTCAACTGAAAGTAATATAATTCACAATGGACCTTATGGGGGAAATTGGACCATTTCTATATTGAGTAATCCAAGATATAAAACATTCAAAATGAAAACTCAGTATCTGACCAGTTATGCTTCAATAATGACTCTGGTCTTTCGAAATATTACAAAATATACTTCTTGTCTCAAATTTTAAATGTCCAATTTTATATTTGTTTTGCAGTTTGGGGATGATACTTTCAAAACCATTCGGTTATTTGGTTTCTTGCAGAGAGTTAGATGACAGGATTGATACCACACTCAGCAGATTGTTAGCTTAGCGTAGCATAACAGCTAGCCTGAATCTCAACTTGCTCTCTGTGCAAAGACTTTTTAAAAGTGCTTCGGTCCGAGGAATGAGTTAAACTGACTTTCTGTATGTTAAATTCGTATATAAATCTGACTTTTGCAACATTTTATTCCTTCCCTCTCCAGCTGTATCCACTGTAGTGTGATCTTTGCTGATGGTGCAACTGTAAAATCCCACATCCAGAGTTCTCACTGTGAGATCTTCTATAAATGTCCTCTCTGCCCCATGGCCTTCAAGTCTGCACCTGGAACGCACTCTCATGTGAAAACACAGCATCCAGGAATGAAGGCAGGAGATCCCAAGTAGGTCAAAAACACTGTGGGCACTTATTATTTATAAATGTCAATACAAACCAAATGTATTTCAGTTTTACATTCCGTTAAAGACAGAATTAAGCAGAAGTGTTTTCCTGTTGTTGTACAGTTAGTGTACATTTTGAAGAACACACCTTTTAATTAAATTTAAAAAAATGTAATCTTATATTAAATAAAAATAGTACTCAGTACACACATAATACACCAGCCTTTTTAATCAAAGAACTGTCAACACACATACACACTCTTCCTTTCACACAGGCACACACCAATATAACCTAATACCCACGTCCAATTCATTTTTCAAAGAAAAATCATCCTTGCTGCTTCATCAGTAGCAGGATTTGTGGGTTTTAGACATGGTGGCTTAACTTGGATTTGTTTTTTCCACATGGAAACCTTTCACTGACTCACATACAGTCCATCATCAGCCCTACTTGTGATACAGGTGCTCAGTAGCAGGTGTTCTTGTACCATTGTTTGAGATTGGCCCTAATTTTGCCCCAAGCTTAAAGCTAAAGAAAACATATCTGACGTGGAACAATATTCAAAGTACTAAACCACCTATTTCAGAATGTTTCATTATTGTATCTCATCCCTATATAAAACTATCTATAAGGTTTGTTTGGAGATACATTAGGTGCAAGAATACAACCGCAACTGAATGTTTAATAGCTTCATGCGAAATATTTGTGAAAATAAGACAACATTTGTAAATGTTGTAAATGTAAAAAATGTCTTTGATTATAAATTTGTGCATTTTGTAGCTAATTCGCAGTGTATCTTTAGGGAAGTTTTTTTGTCTTTCAGGTTGATCTATAAGTGTTCCATGTGTGATACCGTGTTCACTTTGCAGTCCCTGCTCCACTCGCATTTTGAGCAGCATATCGTCAATCATAAAGTTTCAGTGTTCAAATGCCCCGACTGCTCCATGCACTACGCACAGAAACAGCTCATGTTGGACCACATCAAGGTGGGCATGAAAAGCAGTTATTCTGGTGATGCTTGACAATAACATTTCCTTTTTATGAATGCATGAGTCTGTTTTTAACTTTTAATTCACTCTAAAATCAAACCTCACGCTGTGACTTAAAAATGTGTGGCACCATACGAGTACTACTAAAACTTTAGTTAAGAAATGTTTCACATACCAGTGGTTTATAGATTATTTGTTATAATTCAATCTGCATCTGCGGATCCTTTCAAGGCCATCCATGGGACCCTGAAGACCATCGAGGGTCCACCAAACTTGGGCATCAACCTTCCACTCAGCACCAAGCCCACTAACTCCAATAGTACCAACAGCCCCAGTAACAATAACAACAATAAAGACGGAGGAAATGACAAAGGCCGAGCCAAGGGAGTAAAGAAGCCTTCACCTTCACCTCTAAAGAAAACAAACAGTAACTGCTCAGTTGACCTCAAGAACCCGCCCAGCGCAGGATACACGTGTGGAGACTGCAGTAGTCTCTTCAGTTCCAGGGAGGTCTTTGTGGCTCACATGAGGCACGAACATGGCAAGGTGAATGTCAACAACCACTCTCACTGGGAAGTTTATGATTCGTCACATGGTCCTTTTTGAGATTCTGCGTAGCGTTAAGAAATAGAACAAACATCTATTCTCTAATTATTTTAAATGACTAACACCACGCTGTAAAAATACTCTATTACAAGTTAAAGTCCTCCATTAATGATGTTACTGAAGTAAAAGCATAAGTATTAGGAAAATGTACTTAAAGGATCAAAAGTAAAAGTATAGAACTTGAGTAAATGTCCATAACTGTCTATATTTTAAAAAGGCATTATGCATTCTCCTTCCATTGCAGATACTGAAGAAACACCCATGTCGGCAGTGCGATAAGTCCTTCAGCTCCTCCCACAGTCTTTGCAGACACAACCGTCTCAAACACAAGGGACAGCGGAAGGTCTACACCAGCCCGTGAGTACACACATCCACTGTGGCTTTCCTCCAGAGTCCTCCAAATTCAACGACACAAATACATGTTGGTTCATGCCCTCCAGTACGACACATATACAGGTTTCCTTATCTGACGGCACCGTGGTTAAGGTTTGTTTAGGTTTAGGCATAAAAACGACTTGGTCAAGTATGAGTTTGCGCTGAGCGGTGGCAGCACAGTCAGTTGTGAATAGTTCCGTTAGCTGTTAGCTGATAGCCAAACACACCGTCCAAAACAATAAAAGTGAGCAAACTGATTACCCCATACACATACGGTCTATTGAACAGATAAAATATTATTCAGTTTACTGCAGCAGAACACAAGATTAGCCGTGGACAGACACAGCGGTGCACACTAACTCAGTCACTCACTCACGGACGCACGCATACAAACAACGATCACATGATTCCCCTGGTGGAGATAATACCAATAATAAAAACAGAAGGCAAAAATCTGCTGGCAAAGGGGTTATAATTGTTATTTTCTCGTACTTTTGATAGGCACTGTCCAGCTCTCAGTCAGCCGTTCACTAAAAGAGTGCTGCTGGATCAGCACATCCATTTGATGCATGGAGTCAAAGACCCAGATGGGAAAACTGTAAACTCTGATTACACGGAGGCTCTACCTGACAAGGAGACGGTACTGTGGCACACATTTGCAGACACGCATTTATTAGGAGGAGGTTAATCCTTTTTTTTCATGGATGTTTCATTCCTAACCGATGACTTTAACCACCTCTACAGACCCTCAGCCCCAAAAGGAAGCAAGAAGAGGATGAGGGGTCACCAGCCCTGAACTCCAGGGGCACCGACTCACAGCCGTTGAAGAGGCTCAAGGTGAACATCCTTAAAGTTCACAAGTGTGCCGTCTGCGGCATTACCACCGAGGACATCGCAGCGTTCCATGAGCACATTCCCCAGCACAAGTCCGACGGCTCGTCACACCAGTGTCAGGAGTGCGGCCTGTGCTACACCTCCCACCGCTCGCTGGCCCGACACCTCTTCATCGTCCATCGGCTGAAGGAGCCGCAGGGTCTCGCCCGATACAACGGAAGGGGCAAGGACGACGATGAGAGTCAGCGAGAGAACCAGCTGGACGTTGCGGACGGGACGCCGAACACCAAATGCAAAGTGTGCGGGAGGATGTTTGAAACGGAGGGAAACCTGAATACTCACATGAGGACACACGGGATGGCGTTCATAAAGTCCAAGAGACTGAGGACGGCTGACAAGTGACACTTTTAAACCATTGCATCTAAAGCACTGTTGTTTTAAACGTATGCAGATTGTTAAAGCGTTGGAGATAACCTTCAGTACATTATGCTGTATATATTATGTACATGTAGGGTACTACAATATGTATACAATATACATACATGAAGTCACTTCATGCGTCTTTAAGTAAACTGAATAGATAGATGTTTTCTATAGGCTTTGAATAGACCTTTTTTATTTTAAAAAGTTTCCATTGTTCTCATAGGGCTAGATAACGTATGGATAATTGTTGTAATGGGTTTAATCCTCATGCAGTCGGCAGTGTTCTGAATGTTCTAGGCTGCTCGTTTCAAAACAGATGTCTAAAAAAAATACATACATATATAAAACTTTTGGCAGCTTCAGGGTTCCCCAGTTCAGCTGAAGTCTTCAGTTCCACTTAGATTTGAGAAGAAGATCAGCTTCAAACATTCTTTGTGTTTCAAGGAAAACTAATATTTCTCTCTCTCCGAGCACTCCTCAACTTCTACAATAAACTCTGGCTCTGAAACTTTTGATCCTAAATTGAAATCACACAAAACATCAGAAGACATCAGACAGAGATCACACTGTGTGAAATTATGATAATTTACATATTAACATCAGAAACAAGAAGCTTTTAAATAAACGCATATGGGCCAAATTTCAATAGGCTTTTAAAAGTATATTTTGTAAAAGATTGTCTTACTTGTTTCATTTCTGACTTAACATAATTATGGCAGCTATTTATGATTATAGGTCTCAGAAAAAAAAGGTGCATTTACCTGAATATCTAAAAAAAGCACTTGCTTGTCATAACTATGACATTCCTGTCTTGTTATTCAGTTCTTGCTTCTTTCGTTTTGATGTTGAATCATACCGTGTGTTTATTGACAGGAATAACACTGAGAAGAACATCTTAAAGATAAAACATGTCTGTGAAACTGAGTTATGTATACAAGACAACCAGTTAAATCAAATTAACAATAACTGAATGTTGTGAGAACCACAACATTGTTTCCCATCAAGTTTTTCTACTCTGACAATGAAACTTAAACTGTCTGGCGCTGTAGAACTGCATGTGAGAAGCAGTCTGTGAATTGTTTGTTGATTAGAATGTATCTTGCTGCTGCTGCTGCTGTTTTTAGACTTTTCTGATGCTTGTGTACAAAGCTGTTCTCTATGTCAATAAATGATGAAACCTGCCAGAAGTCAAATCTGATGTCGACTGCACATGATACATCAGCTCTTCTCGATGGAAATATATCAGTGAACCTCTCGTGATTATTCACACTCATGCTTGTTTGATTTTATGAATCTGCTTGGAAATCATAGAGAAAAAAGACGAGCATTATAACTCCACAACTTGCTTGAGAATCATCACATTTTTAGGCTTTCTTCAGTATCAGAGTAATCCAGTGGTAGCTGTCTGTACACCCATGGGTACATTGCAAACAGGAGGCGCTAATGGCTGATTCGGCATACTTTTAACAGTGCCAATTTGCAAAATGTAAAAAATGTCAGGGGGACTTTGAAAACTTTGAAAACCATTTGTGTGGATGAAGACAGTTCAACACACATTCGTCGAGTCACCAAATGAAGGATAAGGTTGAGATTACAGCTTGTTTGCCACAAGGCCCATAAATCAATATATGAAGGTTTAAGGTGTTGAATGTTAAGGTACTTATAACACTTCCTGGACTGCAAAAAAAAAAAAAAAAAAGCTGACAAGAGACAAAATTGAGTTCATGCTGTGTTGTAAAATGATTCACGAAGCTCTAATAACTTGTGTTCAGGTCCAAAAGTCACCAAAGTGATTGCGGTTAAGAGGCGCTGCATAACTAAATTATTATTTCTTATTATTTTCAATATAGTGAATGTGTAGAGGTGGTTTCCCTCACTGTTGTCTGGTAGAGTCATGGCATCGGTCTTTAGAACAAGGGCACCCTCTAGTGGCCATTGTTGATATATTTCAAGAACTAGACTGTGTGGCGCTGCTTCTCCAACATTTGAGCTTGAGACAAATGGTTCCAGTAAAAACAAACTCAGACTGGGAAACAACAACGTTTAGAGGAAATAAAAGCAGATACTTTTGTAAAACATCTGTTGTTCCAGTAGTATTGATGGGACTACCCTACACTGCCATCATTATTGTACTTGAACTGTAATTATGTTGATCCTGTGTGGTGACCATAATCACATCCTGTCTCCTTTTTTTTCTTGACCTTTCATCCTCACGTAACCAAATCCTGTTCACACCTGATGCAGAAAACCAGGTGAGGAGGCTCTGCAGTTGCCACGGCAGTTTTTCAATCACCTCCATGGAAGATCAATTTCACGCTACCTTCTTCGTGATGATGTGTCCCGTCCTATGTTATTTAAACAAATTCTCCACAAAAAAAAAGGTGCACTCAGTCCTAAAAATGGCCCCGGGTTGGGTGGTGTTGCTTCTGTTTGCAGGGTGTAGTGTAGCGCTGGACAATAAGCAGGCCTTTACTGTGTCTCAAAAATGTTCGGAGGACACCAACACTTTCCTCTGGGAAATTAACCAGGACAGGCCGAAGGAATATGCTGTTGTCAGTAAGTGTTGCTGACTTTTAAAAGGCTTTTTCTTTCTGTATTTTAAATTGTAGAGTCACTTGTGCATTTGCAATGTGTCAGTGGAGGGTCAGGTCCATTTAAAACGTGCCAGGTGTTCTTTGAGCGGGGACAGTTACATTAGCTTTAAAACTTAAGTGTTAATTTCTAGGAAAGCACGTGAACCAGAAATATATACTGTACTACAAATCTTAAATCAAGATATAAGAGTTAATGTTCACATCAAAAAGCATCAACGCATGTATCGAATACATGACTTACAGTCTTATCTAGATATTCAAATAACTACAGTTATTATTATTATGGTGCAATTGCTAATGGTTTTGATAATTTCATTGTTTTGATTGTTTATTTTACATTCTTCATCCTTTTAAAACATGTAATTGTTCTTAAATGGTCTCCTATTTCATTTAATATTTATAAAGCACTTTGAGCTGCAATTTGTATATGAAAGGTCAAACAACCAACAGGTGGATGGATAATTGGAGAAATTACAAAGCTATATCCCTGCGCACTATAACAACACAACAGCTTCAGTGTCCATGCAGGCAAACAGGCATAGTATGATCTCCATAATAACTAAATTACGCAGTCAGGTAACGTTAGTTGAATACACACAAGACAGATTTGACTCACCGTTGAAGCCTTCTTTCATTCAAGGGGGTGAAGTCACGTAATGTAGTCATGTTGCTCCGTTTGTTTTTTTGCAAACAAAACTAGCTGCTAGTCTCACAACAACACAGCTAGATTAGCTTGCAACCCCGAAACTCTTGCTTCATTTAACGCTATATTAACTGTTTGTTTTGAGTATGACTGGCTTTAAATGTTACGTTTGATTTTCTTTTCCAAACACTTGTCCATTCACAGTGTTATAGTTGCAACATAGTGACCGCGTCTGATTGTTTGATACTTTGTAATCAAAGTTAACAAACCTCACGCGCCTTGTCCTCCTCACCACATGTGAGGGTGCAACGCCAGTTCTGACCGTCACCACACAGAGGGGCGCTGTTTCACTACTTTAAAGCAACCAGATGAAAAAATGGGAAAAGACAACGAAAAAACGTGTCATATCTTTTTATTTAAATGACGAGATTGAGCCATAAAATAAGTCCTTGCTTGCCTTTTTCCTCAGGAAAAAAACCTCAATTTCTGAGTTCCAATTATTTGTATTATTTGAATTTGTACTCAGTAAAAACATGACAAACGTATTTCCCTTTTTTAGATTTATTTTCATTTCAATTCTTTTCTTTTACATTGTACAGCAAAGTTGTGCAACTGGCACTGAAAACTAAATTTGTATTGAATCACATGACATTATATTGATTATAGTCACACAATTATATGGTCAATTATTTAGTCTGTTAAAATCTGTTGGAGCTTTAAATGAGGTTTTTGGATATTCAAGGAAGCAGATGATTTGTGCAATGATAATCAATCATCAATATGACATTTGACATGTTTTATTTTATGAATTCAGTCTCTCTTTTTATCCAAAAGGACTGTGGAGGATCACTGTTTTGTTATTTTCACTAAGTTGCTTTTGTGTGTGTGTGTGTGTGTGTGTGTGTGTGTGTGTGTGTGTGTGTTGTTTGTGGTGGTGCTTGTGTGTGCATTGTCAGTGTATGATGCATTTGGAAAGATGGGTAGCAATGTCAAAGGAGGTAATGCCAACCAGCCTGGTCTGCTGCAGCAGTGTCGCTCTGCACGCGGCCCTGCCTTCTCTGGACAGTACTGCCAGGTGTTCCTCAGGCAGGTAAAACAAACAGCATAATTATATTATAGATAAAACGTCATCCTGACAGTTAGCTTAGATTTTGAACAAAGTGTTTTTACCATCGCAGGAAACAGTGCAGTACTTTGTGGGTATTTGCGTTCCCGACTCCTGCGGAGAAGACGATGTACAAATGCTGGTGCTGTGTGGTCAGTGATTTTAAAAGCAGTTTTCTCTGGACATTATTATTCAATCCAATACTTGTTTTATGTTACTTGTGACTTGTTTCCCCTTTTTAACAGGGAGACTTCAGTTTGGCCAGAATTCCTTCATTCCTCCTTTACCTCCCATCCTGGTCAATAATTCCACTCAGGAGATGATCATGACCCACTGTTTGTCCAACAGCATTACCCCTGATGCATCAGATGTCACCTGTCTGTCAGTATATGATTGGATGTGCCTTTTTTTTTTTTACTGTCTTATATGCATGCGTACATTTAAACTACACAGGAGAAGTGCATTTTTTTGTCTTTAACATTGGTGAGTCTTCCCCTAAAACAGAAACCTTTTCTCCTGCAGGTTTGTGTGTTGTGTAATGGTAGCGATTCCTCTTGCGGCTACGCTGTTTACAGCTATATTAAGATGGCAAAGGAACAGAGAGGTCAGGCCCACAGCGGAGTCTGCCTGTCTAAACACGGGCCTCAACCTTTATGGGACTCTGAAGACCAATGGCTCCTCCAGTAGCGATATTAATAGTGGCACCTCAGAGGACAATAGCAATAGTAAGTTGTGTATTATCTGTTTGTGTGTGAGTACCATGTTCCACAAGATTTGCCTACAAATGTGTATACCAGATGATGCATCACAAGCATAATGCTGTTCTGTATTTGAACTATAAGATAGACGATGATTACAAATTGAACACCGAAAAGTTGATTGAGCATAGTTTTTTGTAGACAGCAGCAGGCCCACTCCCCTCTGTTTTCCTCGAAGCTGTGTGCACCGGTGCCTTCAGGCGTTCTCTCTCCAGACCACCAGCCAGGGTGTCTTTAGCACCTCGTCATCCATCCCAGGAGGAGGCTACTCCTCCCTCAATGGCATCCGTGTCCTCAGCCTGTTGTGGATCATATGCGGACACTCGGCACAGTTCCCCGTAATAAACAACCTGGGTACGACAAGACTCACTGCCACTTGCTAATCCAGTCTGCAAGTGACAAATTTACGTAATACTTTTACATATACTGTGTTATGTCTCTTGCAGATAACTACAAAGACTGGAAGAAAACAGTTGAAAGCAACCCTCTGCACGTGCTCACCATCAGCGGGCCTGTTTTTCTGGCTGTGGACACATTTTTACTGCTTGGGTGAGACTGAAACAACACAAAGTTTAAAAGCATATGTGTCTGTAAAAGAAAGAAAAAGTGAGTATTAAGTTGTCAGTTATAGCAGTTTCTCTGCGTTGTAGGGGTCTGCTTAGTGCAAGGTCTCTGCTGGGCTCCATCGACAGGGCTGAAGACAAACTGAGCCCCAGTTTGGTGGCCAGCTACCTCTTCAGGAGGATTAAAAGGTGCTGTCTGATAATCTATCTGTGTCATTCTAAATAGTTTTTTTAATTCCTCTTGGTAATAAAAAAAGGTCTTGATTGTATGTGTGATTTAAAACCAGTCACATAAATAAGAATTGTCTTTGTCTTCCCATTGCTGCAGGATTCAACCACTGCATCTGTTCATTATGTGTCTAACCATTGGCCTCATCTCGCTGGTCCAGTGGGGACCCTACTGGTTCCCATTTATAGATACTATGATGGACTGTAAGACGTACTGGTGGGCTAACTTACTGTTGACAAGCAATCTCCTCCCAGTCCATGAGATCGTAAGTCTAAAGAATAATTCAGTGG